CCGTTCTTTTAAATAACATGCATGCTTTTCTTTACTGTTAGGTATACTAGGACTGACAACGTATTCTATACTGCTTAAGGTACATATATATAGCTACAATATTTCAGTTATATCCGTTTGATGGTTGAGGAAATCCGGAAAGGATAAATGTATGCAACGTTTACCACATCAGTGTAGATCCGCCACGAATACCCAGAAAACCCTGATGCGACGTAAAACAATATTTGTTTATTCAGTCTTCTTTGAAGCTCCTGAGAATCGGACACAACAACAAAGTGAGTGAGTGGATTAAAATTAAACGTCACCCCGGCAATATTTCGCGGTGGGCGAGCTGGCTAAGACGCCAGGCTAGTGATCCAGCGAGGTTGAGGTGCCGGGATCGAGCCCACCTGTGACCGGGTGTAAAAACCTTGGAGTCAACTTTCTGTGCAGACTCTTTCAGTGTTGTCACAACCCCTAGTGTACAGTACACATCCCTGTGCACTTAAAAGAACCCACGAATCCGTTGGTATATGACCAGATGGTGGCCACATGAATACGTGCAAACACCTAGTTGCGGGTACAGCAACGTGCAGTGAACTTGGACAAAGTACTGTGACTATGTGTCCCAGGCCACCCAGCTGTGAATGGGTACCTCGTTAGGATGAGAAAGCCACAATAACTCGGTGCGCCTAGTGGCTGCAAGAGTTGTATACTCCCCAGGGAGTTGAGATTGATAATACGATGTGCCGTTGAGATTGACATCCAATGATCGAGGGGAAAATACCAGCGCCTTGAGCATGCACTAGTTGCCTGGATATGTGCGCTATATAAATATCCTATAATAATAATAATAATAATAGTGACGAGCCACAATACTTCAAAGACAGTTAGGGGGACCGCGATCGTAAGTTTTTGGAATGTTAGTAAGGGAATATGCTACTCACATAATCTATACAATTCTCCGCGCCTGTGGTTTCTCAGGTTATTAACACATGGTACAAACCAGAAGAATTCGAACAAGTCTCATATGATATATATTCACTTGATCATCGCACTATTTTCCTGTATCAGACAACGCCCGCGAGATATACGCATGACAACAGAGAATACTAGTATACTCTATGCAAAAGAACCCTCACAATGTGTTGCAATATCCAGAAGCCAGCATAGATTAAATAATTAAGTCATATGTAGAAATCTCATGTTCCTTAACATATGTTGAGTAGCACATATTAACACATACTACAGCAGTATGTTTGAATCCGTGACATTGACACATACAACGTGCATATTCTGCCTAATCCAACGTCATGCAGGTGTGGTATCAGTGTCATTTAACTTCAAAACCATTTCCGTGTTTACACTGCATGGATGCAGTTTAATTGTTTTACTTAATATAAATAAACACATTATTTAATTAATACAATAATTTATATGACAGTATATTGCAATATATCTTTTTGTGGTTTACTCGCCAATGTTGATGATAGTTGTTTTTTCCATGATACATCATCTTTTACTTACTGGTGCGGTTCCGAAATGACATGATGGACCAGGAAGATGTTTCTGCATGTATCACCCGATCGCTGCAATCACGCTGAGTGCATGTTGTTATGATGCACACCGACGGAGACCCCCTGTTGGTCCTTAATCCCCACGTGTAAGGCGTTCCCCTTAAGCTATGTGTATAAATATACGACATTATCTCACTCACCTTATCGACTTCTTATCTGAGCTGGTCGCGTATTTCTTCTGTGACCATGTTTCGTCCAGTTTCCATCATTGTCCTTCTGTTGGTCTGCATCATCGCGCTCCAATCCACGGATGGCCGTCGACATTTCAAGATACACAGGAATGGTTTCATGGGTACGAAGGACTGTGAAGAAGCATTTGGCTCTGCTGCCAATAATCACAGTGGTGCTGCCAAGGAACAGTTCTGTACCACGTATGGTAAGAGAGTATCTTTGATTGTTGTCTGATTTCGTGTGTTCCAACCCTGATCAATTTGTTTGTCTATTCATAAACAACTATATATAAATAATATGTCATACTTTTGAAGTGACACTATAATATCTATCAATCCATTTACATAATGTGTAATTTTATGCTATCTTGTGTTGTGAACTCTCTCAATAATTACTGTTTCCAAACTAATGCTGTCTCGGTACTTCCTGAACTAAATGGTGTAGCGATTGTTTCTATATATTATACATTCTTGTTATTGTGTGTTCTTCGCATGTGGGGCGGTGAGGTAGCCTAGTGGTTAAAGCGTTCGCTCGTCACGCCGAAGACCCGGGTTCGATTCCCAACATGGGTATAATGTGTGAAGCCCATATATCTTGAATATTACTAAAAGCGGCGTAAAACTAACGTCACTCACTCAAACACCCTTCGTATGACCATGGCTTACATGCCTGTTATTAACTCGTATATCCGTGAAGGTCCGTGCTTGCTAACTAATGCGACTGGGTGGTCATACTTGATGTCATACGTGATCCAGTTTGATAGACCGATGCTCATAATGTCCATCACTGGATTGTCTGGTCCAGGCTTGATAATTTACAGACCGCCATCGTAGACCTGGAGAATTGCTGAGTGCAAAGTTAGTCATCAAACAAAATACCCAAATACATAAATAAAGAATTAGAGTTGCCTCGCCGATAGATAGGTGTGACGCCATGTTTGTTTACACTGTGAAAGTAGTCCCTAAAATTTGCATATGACTTCTCTAATATGTAGCGATATCCGTATAAGACACCTACGGATACATACTCCGGCGCAGTGATGACTTAGCATAACATCACTGCCACAGGCTAATTTGCAAATCACGTGACCGGACTTTTCTCTTGTTTGTAAACAAACGCGCATGTTCATAATGCGAAGAGACTGGCCTTACGCAAGCTTTTCGGCGCGCTCTTCACAATGTTTTACATTGTTGCATATATATTCTTCCACAACTGCGACAGTATGACAGTACATATTTAGATATCAAACTGGCAGCATCGTTTGCTCTCCGTCGGCTTCGATGACAGCACGTGGAGCCGTACAACCTAATATAGTATGTAAACAAAGCATCGCTACGCAAATCGAAATAGTGTTACATGTTTTAGGATATTTTCTCAGTGAAACTAAACCATTCTATCAAAGATGTTTAATAAGTTGTACTATGTAGACTCGTCAAAAATAAAAGAGTTAAGAAATATGTACATTATATTGAATGGACGGTGCAAGATGTGACGAATCGTCACATCTTTCTGGCCTGTGGCAGAGGTACTATGCTGGCTTTCCTGCCGAGAACGCCATCCATTGTATGATAAATATATATACTTGTCGCTATAAGTCCAATGATCCGTAAGTTCTGTGGGTTAATGGGTTCTTTTAAGGATTGTAGAGTTGCGTCCCTTATATATGACAGGCTCCTTTGATAATGAATGAGAATGCCAGATTCGGTCTGTATATGATGTTCGGTTTATCAATCCAAGTCTGTGCGCGTGGTTTCAGCGAAAGGGCGCTCGTCTAGACCTGCATCATTTCAGACATTCCTTCCACGTTGGATGTAGCTTAAACACTGTTAAAAGCTTCATTTACCCAATTCAGGACTAACTCACAATCGCGACAATCATTGTGTAACACGTACAAGAGCCGTCTCCATTGTTTCAGTGAACATGTGTGGCGACATCATTCGGACTCCTCTATTTCCTGAAGCTGTGAAGTGTGGCGGCTGCATCTTCGCCTGGATGTCACACTGCACCAAACCTACCAGTGGGTAACACACGAGTCACGTACAGCCTTGTAGGAGCGTGACATTCGCGTCGGCTTACAGTTTAACATAGCATCTTAACAAATGATTTTGTGAAGAAACGTTTAGCTTTACGAAATGGTGTGTGTCTACATTATGTTCTGATGTAACTAACTGGGCGTGACTGCCGTAGACAACAGTTATATCTTGTTAAGCTATTCATTTACGTTGTTATTCCTTATAACTTTTGAATAAACTACCTTTCTCTTCATTGGGCTTTGAAAACACGTTTTGTGGTATATTTACGGTATTATATATGGGCTAGTATGTCACTCAGTCCATGTATACCAATGAGTATGCATATGCCTTCTCATTTCCAATTCCTTCTGGCAAAGAAATGTCCCTCACTTCAGTCTACCAAAGACAATGCCTTTACATCGTTCACTCACGTTCTTCTCTTCAGTCTATCGAATAGGAGGCCTTGGCATCGCCGATTTCAATTACGTGGTGAAGTCGATAATCACCTAGAGCTCATAATATCATCATCATTATCATCGTCCACTGATGGATTTTGTTTATTTGTTAGTTCGCTGTTTCACGAAGCACTTAGCAACTCCCCAGCTATATCGAGTCTGAATAGGCAATCCAGTGATCAACATTATGAGCATCCATCTACATCAATACTATAAAATGTGTCAACAAGTCAGCGAGCCTTACCACCCGATCTTGTAAGTCGCCTCTTACGACAAGCATCAATATTCTAACCCGGATCTTAGTTGGTTTCTATAGTAACGAACTCTCCACGTCGAGTAATATGGAACGTACAGAAAATATTGCTATTGTTTATGACGATACAGAAGGCAAATGTAGGTAAACTGACTAAGTTGGTGAGAATAAACTTGGTTGGTTAAGTAATGCTAAAATGTGGGAAATGTAGAGAGACGGGACTAACATTTAGTAGTGATTAGAAGGAATCGGGTAGCCCAATTTGTATTTTTGTGATGTCTTAATATCCAACGGAAACAAGTTAGGAAATTCCGTAAGGTGCCTCATGACTATCATCTCATTACTCAAATATTATAATTAGTAGTGAAAAAGAAGAGGTTATGCCTATAGTTGTAGATGTACAAATGTAGATCTAAAAACCACCAAACAAGCATTGGATGTGACGTCATTGTATTGTGTCATCATAGCACAACAGGTGAACAATGATGTGTCTGTTTCGACAGTAATACAATTTGTAACATGAAGAAATATGCCCCTGACCGTCAGTGTTATCTTTAAAGGCCTTGTACAACATCTTCAGAAGGAATATGTTTCTCTATCCAGTCCAAATGCATCTGGACCCCCTGGAATATACTAGGTCGAGTGGTGATGCAGTCAGTGCCAGGAGTCGCAAGACCAACCAACGTCGCCCTACCGTCACTGTTGTCGCATACCAACATCCAACCATTGGCATCCTGAAACAAGAAGACTATACAGTTCAATTATGTCTCGCCTAGTTTAACTAAAATATATTTTTCTTTCAAGGATGAAAGATCAAACCATACAACAGATTAAGGCTTATTCTCTGCTATCTCATTAGTTGGTGGTAGACGTCCTGCGTTTCTTGAAATATTTACACATAATACTTCTATGTACATATTTAATGAAGAATAAGTAAGTTTTCTATGTACACATTTACTGGAGAATACTAAGTTATTTACTTAATTGCTGATGGACGAAAGTCTAATGGTGCCACTTTGGTTACATAGACATATCATGTAACAGAAAGTTCTCGCTATGTCAATTATTTGTTTATTTTTCCGAAATTTTGAATTTTGCTTCGTTACTTCGATAACTTTTTCGAAATTTCGATTATTTTCTCACTGATTAAAAAAACTAAAAATATTCGAAACAACGAAAATATGTTGTTGTTTCGTAATTTGGAAATAAGATCATAATCGAGGAAATTATGTACTGAAAACTTAACATATAAAACAATAACAAATATAAGTACAAAATATATCTTGGTGTACCGGTGTAGTGCCAGACTTACCTCACAAGGAGCCAAGTTGTCGTTCTCTGAGACCGTGCATACAGTGTCAGTGTATATGGTCCTGCTGGGGTCTAGGCTGCTGTAGATTGTTTGGCATGTTTGGGATGGTAGTAATATTACAGATGCTTGTTGGTGAGAAACGGGAATAGCTGATGGAGTTTCTGTAACGTCGGGGAAAAATAGAAAAGAGAAGCATACTGAAATACTGTCATTATGACCAAAACTTGAAGCAGTCTTTGTTCAAAATGCGTGATAAATGGTGTTGTGAACAAGGCGTTACTTTTTACATTATTTGTTATAAAACACTGGAAATGGATGTCCCAAAGACAAGAAACAACACCACTGTGTCTATTTCCATCACTGCATACGGAACTTCATCTACCTCTTCTCCAGCCTGTCAAACGGCATCTGTCACCTCTGTTGAAGACATCGTTGGTGTTGGGGAGACAAGCCGCGGAGGCGCAAGCGTCGAGCTTGAAGCCGTCACTTACGTTCAAGATAGCAAGATCCCCTTCCATTTCTGAAATCAGGAAGACTGTATGTTCACATGGTATTGAAAACATAGTGTGTCTCAGTAACGATATTGGACATGTGTGTTACGTGAAAACTGGTAATAATACGACGTGTATGTCTTGTGTCGTCTTTGGAAATATGATTAGAAGGATTTATATTCATTGAGACATGAATTTGTCCCAAATATAACACACACGTGGCCAGATAATTGAATCAAAATACAAATTAAAATGAACCAATGTCGGAAGGCAGACAAACTACGAATTTCGAATTGAAAAAAACCCACAATGAATAACTGGAAACGGTTATGAAAAAACAAAGTGGTAGAATAGGGGTCCTGTCTACTGAGTGTACGCTCTACTAGCTAGGCTGCTAATGAGTTTTGTCTTTCAAACCGTTACCTGTACATTAAATGTCATTTGTCTGATGAGATGGCGCGCATGGGTATCCCTGTCGTCTGAAGCAACGGAATTCGGTTAGAATTTCATGCCTTCGGTGTGTTGGAATTATTTGGGTCTCTGGTTCGAATCCAATATGCTTTAGGTTGTTAATTGATGGTCTGTCGACACTTAACTCTTACTTGTGAGTTTGACCAAAATGGTAAACGTGAACGAATTGTACTACAATTGTTTTTTTCCTACATAAAGCAACTTTGTCGTGATCTAACTGAAATACTGTTTGTCGTTAATAACAACTAACTCACACTTTTGCTTTGTGGTCATTGAATAAAGTCAACATTAAAAAAACAATTAGCATCAAACCGTGATACCTGAGATCTCCGAAGTATTATCGAATAGTGTCACATTGGTAATAGTCCTGGTCTGTGTACCACACGTCACGCTGCCGGCGACTGCAAGCGCCTGCAGTCTTGGCACGTCTAGTGTTCTCTTTAATCTGGTTTTGATGAACCAAATAATGGAATAATAAGTCATCATAAAACAGATAGAGGAGTAATGATAGGCATCATTCTCCGAGAGGAAAATACATGCTCGCTGTCAGTCAGTTGTACACATTTCACTCTATAAAAATATTGAATATTTTCAAGCTTTCTGCAACTTTAACGTTTGACATTCCAATATGTTCAAAATGGGTCCTCTGCGCCAATCACAATTGGAACATTCACGGATAGGACAGGACAGATTGTGGGAAATGATGGAAATACTAATTCTGACATCATGTGGCATAATTAAATCATGAGAACAAAGCATGCACTACCACATAAGCATTGTGGTTACACAATTTAATGTCCGGTTTCGGAATGACGGCTTGTTGTATAGACCCAGCAACCAAACTGATCCTACAGAAGAAACTATTGTCCAAGAGCGTTGTTTATGCACCCTTGGCTGGTAGTTCAGGATGGTCGACTGAAGACGATGGAGCTGATAACAACAGCAGCCATTTGTATTTAAGTTGTGGAACAGTGGTAGAAATTGTACAGGTTGGTGGTAAACATATGACAGAACGCACACCTGGACCGAGTGGCCAATGTTCCGAATGGGGAAACCCGCTCTGTCACTTACAAACATGCAAAAGTCGGACGAGTTCGTCTATGGTGAGCCAACGAAGGTGCTCATTGGCGTTTATAGATAGCATCAATGCCGTTAGGTAGTTTAAGATAAGAGAGGATGTATGTTATTGTTAAATGCACTAAACAGACAAATGTAATTGAATTTCGGTGCACTATGAACATATATTAACATGATTAGGTCTTGGCTGATTCTGTGTCATCGTAACCAAACGGGGTGGATCATTGCTCATTATAGACCCGTGAAGGTCCGGGTTAGAATGAGCCTTCCATAACCCATGCGTGTCGTAAGAGGCGACTAACGGGACCGGGAGGTCAGGCTCGCTGGCTTTGTTGACACATTTCATCGATTCCCAGTTGCGCATATCGATGCTCATGCTGTTGATCACTGGTTTGTCTGGTCCAGACTCGATTATTTACAGACCGCCGCCATATAGCTGGAATATTGTTGAGTGCGGCGTAAAACTAAACTCACTCACTCACTCATTGCTCATTATATCAATCACGGGCCTGAATGGTCCAGATTAAGGTCATCGTCGTGCCACTGAAGTGCTTTTTAGCGGTACGTTCAGAAGAAAAATAGTATTTGGTTATAGTATTGGTATATACTGCAATACAATGGCCAAAAAGTGTAATATTTTCCTTACCCCTCGGCACATTCCGCTGTTGCAAGGATCTTCGTCATGGACAACAGGACCCCAGAACATACGGGTAACCTGGTGGAAACATCCCCATCTACGTTGACAATTTCTAGGCTAACACTCCATCCTGAACAATCAGTCCCGGGTACAGTATCTGGATCGCTTACCGAGCCACAACCTAAAGATTATAATTGAAACAATGATAAAAGTTACACAAAACCAAATCTTTTCCACGGTACTTCTATAGTAACGTTATATATTTAACAAACAACAGCCAAATATTCAACCTCAATTCCATGTGGGCACAGCCTGGCCTGAAAGCAGCAAAACAATGACTTTTTTAATCGGCTCCTTTTCCGAATACAGGAAGTTGGACCCTCCCTGCCCTCATGATCACCATTTGTCCATCCGCTTGCAAATATCTGTTGCCACATTAAGTTTAAGACCAACACTTCATATTGAAACACGTTTTTAGTCACTGGGTAGATTTATAATTTTCATATTTAGAAAAATCTACCACAAAATCATCCAGGCAAATGCTGCCAGATTTCTCAGTCCACCTTGATGGCTTCGGAAAGTGCTGGTTAAACGACTGATTCTGATTTAATTTGTAGAACCCCATGAATCTGACAAAAAGTAAATAAATATGACACTCGAAAATAAGTCCATTCGTTCTGGTTCCATGACGTATTTCAACGGCATTTAGAAATGATACACATAAAGGGTGAGACTTCATGAATGTCAACTTATTTATTTTGAGGAACATGACGTTTTGGAGTATATTCTGAATCCTCCATCAGTAAATGAAAAACTAGAAAGCAGATAGCATGTGAAACAACAACAGTTATAACATAACGATGGTGTGCACTTAAGAAGGGAAACCAATAGTTAATTGACTGGCAATGGCAATGAAGAAGAAGCCTGGTATTAATCCAAGCACAAAAAGTTTCATGACGTCATCATCTTTGATCCTGTTTGCCCTTTAAATCACCAAACTGCAATAGTTGAACACGAAAACGTCTTTAAACTTGTCAACTCTTATAATGATACAGTCGTAACGTTTATTCAGACGGGTAGGAGGTACACTGTACAGAAAAAAATACGAAAACATTGTCATATTCCTAACCAACTCTTAAAAGCGGTTTCCATTATACGATTCTGACTTCAGCACAAACATGTGTTAACGAGTCACTATCAAAAAGTTAAGATACCATGTTTTCGCGGTGAACGTATCCTGCCCCACCGGTTGCAAACGCACGAAATGGCTTGTCAAAAAAGTCCAGCTCGTGAAAGCATGCTGCCGTGACACATGCAGCTCAAATTACTACGTTTATTCAGGCTTTCAGACAGCTAAATTCACTGAGCGATGACTACGACCAATACGAACTGAACGGTTTATGGTGGCATAATAAAGTATAAATCTGTGTTCCTTAGTTCGCTATAACACTGGAGCAAATGTATGAGACCGACAAATACAGGAACACTGTGGACCACTCGCGAGGAGAAGTGGTACTGCATGAATTTACTGTGAACAGTGTAAAGACATATCTCGACGCATAGCGTTCCTTTATCGTGATGGTAGTTCGTGAAGAGCGTGAAGGCACGGTGTTCTCTGTTTAACCATAAAATTATGTATAGCATACACGTTAATTTAACGACAAATGACCCCCGCTGGGTCGGTTGTCTTACGCGACAGTCGCATGAACGAAACAACTGTTTCAGTAAGTATTCCTGCCGGTGGTACTTGAGGTCGCATTAGACTGAGGCTAGTAGAGTTAAAATGGATTTGAATCCATAGCCAGTATATCAATGCAGATCAACGCCATGAAATTATGGGAAAGAACATTTTATTGAACTAATATAATCTGAGCGACATATGTCTCCTCGCTACTGGAATAGTTGTTGGCGGTGGAGGGATAGGTGGAGTGGTTGGAGATGTCGATGGTACCGTGGTTTCTGAAGTGTCTGGGCTCGTCGATGATGTCACGGGTGTTGTTAAGCTAGTCGGAACAGTTGTTGTTGGTGCTGTGCTTGACGGAGTAGTTGGTGATGTCGATGGTACCGTTGTATCTGAAGTATCTGGAGTCGTCGATGATGTCACGGGTGTTGTTGTTAAGGTAGTCGGTGTTGTTTCCGAGCTCGCAGTTGTTGAAGTAGCAGACGAAGGGGACGTTGTCGTAGGTGTTGTTGTAGTTGTTGTTGTCGATGCTGGTATTGTACTTGTTGTTAGGGGTACTAAAGCAGAAACCAAAATAAGCATCGATGAATAATCTTTCGTTTACACAATGGATTGACAAAGGAATGACAAGAGATATAAAATTGTTACTAGCCTGGAAATGGTCGCAAAATTCATATCCAAGAACCATCAACGATACCCCCATTACACAAGTCACAGCGAAATACTCTTTGCATTTGTTATATTTTAAGCCACCATCAAATATGGGTGTTTACTTTTTTTTGACTTGTAGTATATCATTGACATCAATATCACCCCGGCACTAAGGTCTTGCTAACGACTGTTTTCAGACTAAATCGGATTTTCTGGTCAGGTAGGCAGGTTCCATGTCATACGGCGGGGTATTCATGATATCAGCCACCGGCGTGAAATAGCTGATAATTCTGGCTTTGGCGTTAATCAACAACATTTAATGATAAGTTATCTTACACAAAAAGCACCCTGGCCTGCGACATTGTCCAGTCTGACTACTTTCTCCGAGGCACTGCCCAAACTGACATGTCCTTGACCTTGTCCTTACTCCATCACCGCAGGATGTTGCGCAGGTACTCCAGGCTGTCCATGCCGCCCATATTCCAGCAGACCGATCTATGACAAACATACGTTATTTTTGGTTTACATATCATATCCATCGACGCTAATGTCAGGCATGTCGTATTTGTATGTTGTTTAATCTTATCTTATTCACATGACTAGTATTCCATGCAGTATGTGACATTATCCTCATGTAAACGAAATATGTATTAATTGTGTTTTAATTGTAAATCTGAAGGGATAAAACAAATTAGAAATCAAGATTTTGTGAAAAAGGAATTGAATCAGACGAAGCTCTTTCTGTTTAATAAATAAATAAATACATTCCATTTTGTCTTTTCTTTGGACCGTTTATTACAGTTGTATCCGCAATTTATGTGAATTCTTACCAGATTTACAACACGATCCTCCTCGACAGAAAAGGACTGAGTCGGGCACAGGAAAACGTCTTTCAGAGCCAAGACATATCGTTCGGCATGTTCCTCGATACAGCTGCCTACACACTGCAACAAAATCACACACGTCCTTGAAAACAGCTTCAGCGGGAAGAGAGCAAATTCTGCCAATCATTTTATCATGTACCAGAGTATTAAGCCACAGGAACACTTCATCTGAATGTCCACACCTTGATCAGTGTAATTTCAGTTTTTCACGGCGGTCCGTGAACGTCAACCATATCAGCGAGTAGATTGAGTATAGTTTTACGCCATTTTATGCAATATTCCAGCAATATCACGACGGGGACACCAGAAATGGGCTGCACACATTTTACCGATGTGGGGATTCGAACTCGGGTGTTCGGCGTGAAGAGCGAACTATTTTACGAGACTTGGCGACCTACAGCTCACAAGCAAGTAGAAGCATGGTCAAGGCCGATATATG